TTTGATCAGGAAGAATTATATGGAGAACTAGGTAACTTTTTAAAAATCAATTTATTGGGGGCTCATACAACTCTTATCACACTCCAAACATACATCAATTGAAGTAGGTAACTTAAGGTTGCTTGAATTTTACCTTTCCTTTAGGCAGCATTTCCCAAAGTGGAAGATACAGCTTCTGGGGGCACTGGAATGATCCAGGGAGGCTGCAAAGGCGATGCCTGTATTTAATCCTGGATTATGGACAGTAATGCAAGCTTTTTTAATTGGCAAAGGTGTGCTGAGTAAAAAAAAATTTTTTTTCCCTGGAAATAGGACAGTAGAACTAATACCATATGTACTCATGTATAAGCTGAGTTTTTCAGCACATTTTAAATGTAGTTTTTGTGGTAAAATTAGGTGCCCTGGCTGATATTCAGGTTGGCTTATACTCGAGTATATACAGTATGTTTGGAAATCTATTCTCCAGGGTTATTTTAACTTTAGCTAATGATGCTAGCATATTTCGCCCAGATTTTCCTTTATAACTATTATCTAAATATGATAAAAAATACACTTCCCTTATTCTCAAAGCATAATTAAAAGAGGCTAGAGCTTTATAAAATGCCAACAGAAACAAAGGGAGTACGAGAATAACATGTATATGTAGCAGTTTCACCCATTTTGATTCTGTATTGGCTACCTTGCTCCCAGGGTTCACGAAGAACTTAAGAGAAGTTAACTATGATCATTTTTATCACTGCGTGTTTGTTTACATTTCCATAATTAATACCACATTGGGTGGATATTATATAGTCCCTGGCCTCTGTTGTTCCTGGGTGGCACATGCCTAACGATTGATGGTTAAAGCCACTGAGTGGCACTGCAGAAGAAAGACTTGGTATCTGCCAAGGAATCCCTATTGGGCAGTTCTACTTTGTAACACACGGGGTGGCCAAGAGTTGGAATCTACTTTTAATGAATGCTGACTTTTTGCCTATGATCTACATTATCCTTAGCAAGAGAAATAAATGCATCCTACTCTACTCTCATCTTTTTTCTTACCTATATATTTGAAATCTGATTTTTATCTTTAAAATCCTGTTTAAAAAAAAAAAAAGGAAAACCCCAAAAGTTGTTGGGTAGTTTTTATTTTTCTTTATATGTATTCTTATATTATCAAACAAACACATGCTTATTCTAAAAATAGAAATTAGTAATACATCAAGCAGAAAGTGATCTTCTGACTATTTTTAAGTCTGACTCAATAGGGTTACTGAATGTTAGTAGTTTTATGTGTATCAATTTGAACTCTTATAATATACATATTCAAAACATGCTTTTGTGAATTTAGTCTTTAAAAATGTAATTTTTAATGTGTAAGTTCTGTAATTTGCTTTTCCTACTACTTATCATTTGATTTTACTTAGCCGTCATGTGCTTATAATATGTTTGATGTAACTGTAGATTAGAAATTTAACAGAAAGTCACCAGCATAAACTAATAGACTGAAGCCAGAGTGATTGAATAAGGGAGATCAAAACTGTAAATTCAGGCTAAGGAAATACATGTACTAGTTTTTATTAGTGTTGTTGCTACTTTTATTATTTATTTTATTAATCATTATATTCGGGGCTCTTACAAATCTCATAACATTCCATCATTCAATTGTATTAAGCACACTTGTACATCTGTTGCCATCAACATTTCCATCCTTTAATAATTTAAAAGTGTCTTCTGTAGCTCTGTCTGGTGGTGCTGTCGGGTAAGCATTGGACTGCAAATAGCCAGGTAGTGGCTCAGACACACCAGTCGCTCTGCAGAAGACAGTTGAGGCTCCCTGCTCCCTTACAGGCCCTTTGTAGGGTCACTTGGAGTTGGAATAGACTCAACAGCAGTGTGTTTGGTTGTTTGGTTTTGCTGACTCAAGTATAAGCTATGTGAAATTAAAAAATGAATACTTTTAAAAATGTGGTATAATTTGGAATGAAAGACTTAGGCCAGTAAATACTTTATTATTTGCACAATACATCTAGGTATCTACACTTAAAAACCTGACGTTGTGTGAGAAGTATGAGGATATAAGTCGGAATAAGACCGTGTTATAACTAAGCACTGTGTTAACAAAGAGCAGAGGAAGGAAGACAAGACTCCGTGAAGGAGATGACATGAGCATCGTGTTAACCTGCTATAAGAGCTAGACAGACTTAAAAAAAAAAAGACTAAGAAATACAGAAGCATTGAGTCAGAGTTGGAAATTGGTAGGAAAAGCACAATGGCAAGACAGAAAGGGGAAATTAATATGTATAGACAAAGAAACAAAGTAGACCTGAGGCATATGCACAATCCTGGCATAATTAGCAGCATTTTCTTTCACTCTTAAAATTATCCTAGATTGGATGATAAATAATATGCTCACTCTAGAAGGTAGATTCCTGGGTGAGCTGGTACATTTAAAGGTAACACTAATTTGTGAGTGACTTGAAAGGATATAATTGAAGTTTTGATGCCAGAGGGCTGGAAGGTTTTAGCCTAAAACTAGAATATTAAACATTCACTATGTTTAATTTTGTTATGTTTTACATTTAATTTTTAATTATGTTTATTTTGGATTCAGGCTGTGGGCAGGAAGAGTGGGTAGTTGAATAGGTGTTGAAGGCCTTTGGAAAAGAGAAAGACAATAGACGTTAAATGTCCACAGATGATGGCAAGAGTTGAATTAGGAAATAAAATTTTGAGGAAAGTGAGGGATTGAGAAACAGATTTGTACACATTCGTATCAGCAAGATCAGGTCCAGTGCCCTCCGGTTGGTTCTGACCCATAGCCTGGTCCTGTGTCATTCTCACAGTTGTTCTTATATTTGAGACTTTCACTGCCCCTCTACTTTACCAAGCATGATGTCCTTCTTCAGGGACTTGATCTCCTACAACATGTGTGAAGTTCTTGAAATGAGTCCCGCTATCCTTGCCTCTAAGGAGCACTCTGGTTGTACTTCTTCCAAGACAGATTAGTTGGTTCTTTTGGCAGTGGACAGTACTTTCAGTATTCTTCTCCAGAACAGTAATTCAAATGCATTGGTTCTTCTTTGATCTTCTTATCAATGTTCAACTTTCACCTGCATATGAGGCTATCAAATGCACCATGGCTTGGGTCAGGTGTACCTTAATCCTCAAAGTAACATCATTGTTTTTCAACACTTTAAAGAGGTTTTGTAGGTATTTGTGTTAGACAGGGTTCCCAAATGTGTTAGGCAGGGTTCTCTAGAGAAACAAAATCTGAATGCTAATAATTATATGTATATTTTTATAGATAGGTAGATATAACATAAGAAATAAACAGTTAATTAAATTCTAAAGCAGTACAAATGGCTCAGTGCAACTCACTCCCATGAGACAATTGTGAGACACTGGCAGTCCTTCAAGTCTTGAGGGCCGCTGGGTAGTTCTCTGTAGAGCAATTCAGGCTATCCGGGCACAGGCAGCAAACAGCAAGGCAGGTTCACCAACAGTCAACCAGATGACAGGGTCTTCGGACAGTCCCCAGCTCAAGAGATGTAAATTCCATTTGTGTGGCAAAGCAGGTCTTGAAGGAACCTCAAATTACAGCGACACAGTCCACGAGTTAGGTGTCCCACAGGTAGTGTAGCTTGCAAATTGAGGCAAAGAACAAGCAAGGCAGCTGCTCACTGGTCCGATGATCAAAGAGCAAGTGACAAGAAAGGTGAGGCTTGCCGAGCCATTTATCTCTGCACCCTTCAATTAATCCCACATGTGTTTATTGGCCAGGTTGGCACAATAATCTAACTACCTCAATATTATTGGTAAAGCTAATGTATAAATTTCAAAGAAGAATAAAGTTTTGCATAAGATTGGAAGAATAGTGATTTCCAAATAACATTGAGGAGCTAGGATAATATTGATACCCTTGTCTTTCACTTCAGCCTTGCAGATGAGGGTGGCTGAATGTAGGGAAGGTGTGGCCTCCACCTGAGAGCACTGCTGCTGGACAGCCAGGTTTCACATAGGACTAGAAGTGGGCGGATAGAGATTTAGGCAAGTTTTTTTTTTTTTACAAATCGCCTTCGATTCTAGAGGACCAAATGGACAAGATTGAGTAAAACAAATTGGGGATGGGGACTGGGAGAAAACAGTAAGATCATGGAAGGGCATGATCATAGAGAAAGGATGGGGTAGGAATGGGGATTTGCTGTTGTTAACTGGCTGTGGCTCCTGGCAACCTTATGAATGAAGGAGTGAGATGCTGCCCAGAAAAAAATCTGAATTACACAAAATTCAAGGGTGGAAGTGGCCTTTTCTATGTTCTAAATAGTGGCATGGGGCTTTTGGAATTGATTGAACGAGTGTCTGATCAGGACTCTCTGAGAAGCTGTTCCACTGCAGGGGAGAGACTGGCGATGGCTTAGTACATTTAAAGTGGAACCGATGGCAGTTGGTCGGCTGTCATTCTGTTAGGATATGCCTTCCATGAGCCTGTTAAAAAGTATACACATCGATTTCAAAATTGTGTTGATTTCTCACCGCATTGCCACTCTCTTTAAAGAGTAAAATACATTTTGCTGGGTGGTTTATAGATGTAAGGGTTTTATTTATTGTCTCAGCCGAAGGCCGGTTGCTCTTTAATAAGACTCCAAAGGACTGGTTCACTGTAGTGCAATTTCACTCGAATTTAACTGTGATTTTAAACTGAGCTCAAAACAATACTTTCAAATACAGAAAAGAACAAAAAAGAGCTTTAAATTCTATATCTGTAAGGATCCATAGTCAGTATATATTAACTGGTAATGCATGATTTATCTTGGTAGTTAAACTTTGGTGACTCTGCTCATTCTTGCCTGTTTAAATGCACCGGAGAAACAAAAACAAAAATACCCTTTACTTTGTATTCATGTGAGAGCAGCCCCCCCAAGCCCCCTCTCCCCACTTTCATTTTGTATTTGCAACTGTGTTTATTACTTGCATTCTTGGAAATGACTTTTTGTGACTTTGTTTCTGTCTCGCTGCAGGCAGCTGAATATTTGTTCCGATAGAGCCATTCTATTTCTGATTTCGGTCAGCATTGAAGCATGTAAAAGGTAAGAAACCCTCCAGATAATTCTTCCTGCACTTTAACTGGTTAATGATTTTATAGTCTTTATCACCGAGTTACTGATAAAGTAACTTGAAACATAAACCGAGTATGATAGGTTTTATTAGTCAAGGATTATTAATTCAAGCCCTGTTCATTTCTCTTCTAGTTTTTGAGAATATCTGTTGAGGAAAGAATGAAGGATTTCCTACTTCTGTTACATTGTTTCTATCCATTTATTTGCTGATTTTTCTAAATTAACATATTTCCTTTGCTTGAATCTGTCAGTGTTACAATAAAGGAAATAATTGAACAAATATTTTTTTTACCATAAGACATAAACTGTGTAAACATAAAAGCATTTTTACTTGGAAGAGAATGTTCCATACATATTTAGCTTCCTTTATATTTTGTAAAAACAGTGTCTTTATCATTGCACTTGGAGAATGTAAAGGTTGCTCTTTGTAGTGTTGGAAGTTGAAGTTGGAAAACATGGAAACCTTCAGAACAGATTTTGTATTTGCTCTGGGTATTAATCTCAGTGTTAATTTTACAATAAATACCATGGACATCCTGTGATTTTACTAAGGAAATGAGTTAGCAGTTTTACATTTTGCGATTTAGTAAAGTCTCTTTTGGTTTAAAATTATGTACTTACATATTTATTTTATGGAAATTTTAGAAAATATAGCAAGCTTTAATGGTTCCTTTAAAGTTTTAAGTTACTATTTATGGTGAATTGGAAACCGAATGCATATGCATTCATGTGATATTAATAGAAACTGAGTAGCATTGGATAAAGATATATTTCTTTACTTCATAGTTTAGTGGTTTTTACAAGTTTCACTAAAAAATGTTATTTAAAAATAGATACCTTTGATGATAGCGTGCATGTACTTTTGACCACTATTCTTTGTTTCTGACTTATTTATATTTACTGTCCACTAAAGGATGGATATTTTAAATTTAAAATCTAATTTTACACACATTTTTTAAAATGGGCTCACTCTTACAGTAATCTACAGAACATTGGATGCCTACTTTAATCTGTTTAATAAGCCTCAAAGCTACAAAAATGAGAAGTACACAATGGTCTTGTTTCCTAGTAGCTTCTAGCGTATAGTCTAATAGAGGAAATACCGCTGAGCAAATAATTGAAACAGAATACGGAAAGTTTTGTATGAACTAGAGATGCACATGAGGTACCTAGTATCTCAGTAAGGAGGGCCCCTAATTGGCCTGGGCTAAGGTGGCTATGGCCGTGGGGATGACCAAAGAAGGTTCCGCAAGAATATAAATGATAAAGTTAAGTGGGTGATTCCTTAGGCAGACAACGAAGGGGAAACACTTAGATTGAAGGCACAGGAAAGGTAAAGACACAGAGATGTGACTGATCATGAGACATTTGGAACCTGAAGTAGTGCGTTGTGTGACTGCTAGAGGTAGACAGTTGTCTGTCTTTACTCATTAAAGGAGTCGGAATTTTTATCTCTAAGATACAACAGGAAATCTACTGCTATCAAGTTAATCCTGACTCTCAGTGACTCTGTTCGGTTTCTGAAGCTGTAAATCTTTTGGAGATCAGCTAGGTTAATCTTTCCTCTGTGGACTGACTGGGGGTTAGAACGGCCAACCTTGCTGTTGGTTAGCAGTCCCATGGTATCCAGAGAGTACCACGGGTAAGGGCTGTAAAATCAATACTGAGCATGACAAGTTAGCATACACGTGATTATTTTCAGTCTGTAATATAATTTTATCTGTCTCTGTATTTGTCTGCCTGCCTGCTTACCTACCTATCCACTTATCTGTGTAAGTTTTGACTACAGCCTGAGTGTGTAATTTCAGCTGAAAGGTCTTTGGGCTGACTCCAGTTTTTGGCTTTTACAGATAAAGCTGCTATGAACACTTGTATGCATTTTATATGAGCTTAAGTTTTTATTTCTGTGGAATAAATGCCCAAGAGTGCAGTTGCTGGTTCATATTGCAAACTTATGGTTTAGTATTATATGCTATCAGAGTGGCTATACCATTTTGCATTTCCATTGGTTTACATTATACAGCAGCAAAGTACTGTATTCATGATACAGTTTCTCTGTAGCCTTATCAGAAATTGATGTTGTCATTTTTTTAAGTCATTTTATTAGGGGCTCGGACAGCTTTTATCACAATCCATCCATCCATCCATCCATCCATCCATCCATCCATCCATCCATCCATCCATCCATCCATCCATCCATCCATCTTGTGTCAAGCACATTTGTGCATTTGTTGCCATCATCATTTTCAAAACATATTCTTTCTACTTAAGACCTTGGTATTAGCTTTTCACTTTTTATCTTCCCTCTCCCACCCTCCCTCCCTCACGAACCC